GGCAGTGTGCAACTGCTCCCCTGACAGCATGCCCTGCCCTGCTCCCAGTCACTTGCTGGAGAAAATCCGGGTAAAATTTGCTGTGCAAAAAGGGGAAAAAAGCCACCAGAAGACCACGGCTGTCATCCGTGGCACTGGAGACCAGAATGTCACCTGGCAATAAAAGCATTCCTCTAAATACTCCTTACTAACAAGGGAGATATTTGCTGTGTCTGTCTCCTCTGGGCTGCGTGTTGAAATGTTAAAGGGATGGCGCTCCTCCTCTTTGCCCCCAGCTGCCTCCTCCCTGGGCTCTGACTGTTTAATCTGATTTTTCTAAGCCATGATCAGGGCAGATGTGACTGTAAGAAGGCACAGAAAAATCTTTTTATTCTTGTCTTTCCTTTTGTTGCTCCTAACTTGTCTGCGGTTTTCTCAGCTTAAAGCAAGCCCCGTTGTAACCTTGCAGCTTGGCCAGAAAACCACCACAAATACTTCTGTATGCTTTTTGCAGAGCTCTTCTTACCACTAGAAAAGCACTGGGTATTGCTCCATGGGTCCCACTGACACACATCTGCTTTGTATGTGCATTAAGCTCTGTGCTAATACCTGCTAGCCAGGCTTTTAGAGGGGCCATATCAGCATGTGAGAAGTAAGCAGTACATTTTCCCTATAAATCTTTCTCAGGGTTGCTTGGAGAGCACTGCTGCATTCCCCCTCTTGCTGCTGGCTGTGCTCCCAGCTCTGCTTCTGCTGGGGACTGAAGGTGGGGAGAGCTAGCAGCCCCCAGGCCTCTTTGTCCCACCAGTCCTCTGCCCATCTTGCATCACAACACAACTAAGGGAAAGGAAGAGGGATGCTGCACCTCAGGAAAGACAAAAGCTGCCAGCCATATAGTGTTATATTGCCGTATCTGTGTGATAGTGCAGCATTATGCTAAGATTTTATCACAATCCAGCCAAGGGGTATTAATCTCGTGCTTCATTGCAACATAAAGTTTCAAGTCAGTGAAGGAAATGATAAGGTCAAACCCAAATTGTTTGATTTCACATTGTATTTGGCTCCAGTGATGCAGAACGGAGGTGGCAGAAGACTTCTTTGGTTTTTCCCCCTCCCAGTGGCTTTCTGCAAGGTGCCCCCATGGCTCTGGAGGTTGAGGGGTCCGTATGTAACCTCGAGGAAAAACCCACAAAACTCAGCATCAGAAATAGATGAAAGCATTGACCATGGGTGAGGTAGGTCCCAGAAGACCTGAGCTGTTGTCTCTAATAAAAGAGCATGGCAAAAAGCATTAAACAGAAGAGCAGCTTAATTTCCCTGCAGTGTTAGGGCTGCTGCTGCCTGTAACTGATGGGGTTAGTTATAGACTGTAATATGTTTTCCTTGTGTAGCAAAGTCCCATTGGATTTTCTAGGTGTTAGTATAACCAGAGCTGAGTGATTCAATCTCAGCTGAGCAGAAGATGATCACTCTTCCCTGCTCTGCCTGTGAGGCCCATCCATCGTTGTGCATGGATCCTGCCCATATCTCTCTCCAATGGGTGAAGCCTGGGCTTTTCCTCCTGTACAAGATTGTTTTCTGGCTGATTTATGGTTTTTGGAAAGTTAATTGATCCCTATTTTAATCTCCTTGTGCTTGGAAAAGAGACATAGATCATTTTAATTGCAGAAGAGAAAAAATGAGTTTATGTGACATAACTCAGGCAGCGATGTTCCTTTGGTACAGCATCAGCATCATTATATCAATTAAATCATGCTATGTGTTACACTGAAGCAGGCTTCTTTTCTTCTTGCTGGTTGCTCAGTGAGTTATTTGATCAGATACTGCAGTGCCTGAAGTGAAATTGAACGTTTCTGAGCTCCCAAAGTTCTGAACATTACAGCTGTCCCCTTTGAACACGTTGCTGTGGTTATGGGCCTGGCAGCACCGGTGGGGCCAGCATCTGAAGTGGCTTTTTGGAAGATTTGGGATAGGAAAAAGGTTTGGAAAATAATTAGCAAGGACTGAATTACAGTGTACCTGGTTAATGTTCCCCAATTTCTCCAAGCTCAGCCTTACAGAGACCGCAGCAGCTCCAGCACTGAGAGCTGGGGGGATGCTGAGAGGGCACCATGGCAGCTCATTCTACAATATCCATCTCCATGGGGAATTTGGCAACTCATTACATTGGTTTACATAACATTACACATGCCTGAGTTACTGAGGCAGCCTGGCAAATCTCTGCATCGCTTCTGCAAAGCCGAGTTGTTCACTGCAGTGCTTTCTGAAGGGCATTCCCAAGGCTTGTGCTAAATTGAACCCAGTTCCTGCTAGTGTGTCTCTGTTACCTGCAAGCACCTTGCTTGTGAGCTGAGTTCCTCTCCCCAGCCTGGGAGCACACTGAAGCACTGCTTGGGAGAGCATCCTTGGCTGGTGGCTGGATGAAATGCTTCTGGTTGGAAATAGCTCTGACTTTACAGCCAACAAAAGAGCAAAGAGGTGGGTTTCCTTGCATGGGGCACGACTCCAGTCATAAATCCAGTCCTGCTGGAGTGTACTGGTGTGGCACAGTGCAAAGAACCTGGCCTTGTTGACTGCAGTTTGGGAATGGCAGAAACCCATGCGTCTTCTGTGCCCATCTCTGTACTTCCCTGTGAGGTCACTGCCAAAAACCGTAGTTTCTCCTCCATGAGAAGAAAATGGACTTTTCCGTGTGCTCCATATTGGAAAGAAACAATGAAATGTTGCATTTCCCTATGAAAATCCTGCTCACTACAAATGCCACACAACTAATGTGAGGTTTACTACTGGGTACTACTGACCACTTATTTCACTACCGTGTGCCCATTCAGTTCTACTGAATCAACATCAGTAGTAGGAGGGATGCATTGGACCAGCTATGAACCCATAGATGAAACCTGGTGGAACAGCAAAACCCCCCGATATCACAGCCTGATTCTGGCTTGAAGGACTCTGCCCACATCACCAGGCTGATCCCAACCCACCTGGCAGGACTTCATGCTCACATCTTTGTGTTTTCTCTGCTGGTCCAATTCTGATCGTTATTATTTGGGCCACGCTTCCCAGGTTTTAAATTATTCTGTCTCAACTAGCTGGTGGCATTTGTTACATGTCATGCAATGTTCCTGGTAATTAATTGGTATTTAATTAATTAAGGGATAATGGCATTCAATTAAGGGATGCCTGTGGAACGCTGTCATTGGGTAATGAATGGCTTCCTGCTGCTCAGGCAGATCTGAGGCATTTGTGGAAAGTAAATAGAGAGGAGAAGCTGCATCGTTGGTTCTCTTGGCAGCAATCCTGATGTGCCACCACTGGCAGGGATGGTCACAGCATGGATGGTGGCATCTCAGTGCTTCCAGCAGCTCCACAGCAACAGGGCTCCATTCCCACACCCCTCGCCCAAGGAACAGAGCAGGTCGAGCTTTTCCCCTGATGAATGTAAACTCGCTGTTGCCCCCACAGAAATCAAGGACTGCGGTATCTGGTAGAAAATGGGCCTCGTGTCCTCTTGCCTTTGGAGCAGAGCACAGAGAAACTGTGAATTTCCTATGACATGAAGACAAATGAAAGTGGATTTCTCAAGCCAAACCATCTTGAATAAAGAGGGACAAATACTGAAGGAGAAGCAAGAGTGAGTCACTTTGCTTACAAACTCTCTGTGATGCTGTATGTGCTGTGGGTATAAACATTTCTGATCCTTCTTGCTTCCCAGGCATCCTTCCCACCGTGGGCCATGCAGCTCTTCTTTCACCTCTTGGGAACTGTGTTATTTCCAGTCAGAATGGGGACATAACAGGGCCGTGAGGGAGATGGGCATCCCTCTGAGTGGTGTCTTCCCCTGGACCCGCAGCTCAGCAAAACCTCACAGCTCCTTATTTCCCCTTCTGAGCCTTTCTGAGCTGCTGTACTCAGTGAGATGCAAAGTGAACATTCTGAAACACTGTAGTGCTTCAATTCCCCGACAGCTTGCAGGTTTTCCCTAAAAAGCCCCAAGCCATTTTTGTTCGGAGTGCACACTTCCAGCTGAGAACTGCAAAACAATTAAGGGGGAGAAAATGCAAATTGTACTTCATGGGTTGATTGCCGATGCCTCCTATAGAGGAATTGCCTGCTGGATCTAATTGTTTAACCCAGCAGTGTAATGACACTATTAATAATTTATTCTTTCTTTACATTGGCTCCTTACACACGTTTTGTTTTCATTATTTTCTGGCACTCCTGCATAACTAATTTTTGCTTTCTAATTCTGTTACATATTTCAGCTGTAGTTGTGTATGAGCACGATGTGCGCCTGTGCTCACTGACCTCTTGGTATTTTTGGTTGCTGTGAGTGAACTCTAGTGAAGTGAATGGGGCAGACACAGTGGGATATATACACCTTCCTGAGACCTTTGGGATGGAAAGTAATGCGGAAATGTGAACTCCAATTACAGCTCCAGCAAAGTCCACTTTCTAATTAATTGGAGATTAAGCTAAAAATAGAGCTGGTTATGTAAAACATAACTCGAAAGCCCTCATCCACCTGGTTGCACAATACCCAGAAGAATGATCCCTGGCAATACTTAATTAGGGGTAATTATGCCCCAGGATGTGGCTTTTGAGGGCACGTAGAAATTCTGCTGGGATCCATTGGTGTGGGGCTGACAAACCTTGCTCCATCCATAGGAAGAAGACCCCAAAGCTCCTAGGAAGCTCACCCATCAGCTCATGTTCACCACTTGCAAGCCTGGAGGTTCCAAAAATCTTTGAAGCCCAGCACGTGGTGGTTTCCCCAGAGCAGTTTGCATCTCTCTGTCTCTACAAGTTCCTATAAACACTATCATCGTGTGTCTGTATATAAAAGGAAGAAGAATGTGGATCCAGCCTCCACATCCATCCCCCAAAAGGTCAAGCAATTCGGCCCAACAAAACCTCAACAAACACTCATCGAGCTTTTAATTGAGTTGTTTCTGTTTAATAAAAAAAAAACAAAACACACTGAAATTCTTCTGTGGCTTTTGCTGGGGTGGGAGGGCTGCCCTGCATGCCCTGCAGTGTGATTGCTGCTGGGGGTTTGGATGCCTCCCTTATCCTTTATCAGTGGGAGGTTTGGAGGCCGCAGCTGGGGCAGGAGGTGACTCTCCAAGCTTCTACGGGTCCAGAGAGGGGGAGACCTTGGGATTCTGCTGGGGACCAGTGACACATCAGGGCAGCCAGAGTCTGTGTTCTGCTGCTCATCTTCCCTGCTCCTCTCAGGATCTCAAAATTCACTGTTTCTGATCAGGGGGGCCAAAGATGTCATTGACTGCCACAACCACATCTGGTGTCTACTCTGTCAGTGGGCAGCAGATCCAGCTGTGCATCCACTTGGCCAATCCAGCACCTCCATCACAAGAACATCCATGAAGTCCTCCTGAGATCTCCAGGACCACTTGCATATTCCAACCCATCATCCACCCTGCTGGGTGGCTGTGACATTGCCCCACTCAGAGCTACCCACCCTGGCCCCTTCTTGGTGCTTATCCACAACTTCTTACCCAATCCCCATCCGGCAGAAGAGCCCCACATAGCTGAGCTCCTTCCATTCTCCTTTTGAGGTTGGGTTCAGCCATCCAACAGCACCTGGATACAAGGAGTAGCCAAGAACTGGCTAGAATGATGGGGATTTGATTCTGATTGGTCTGACTATGGCTCTGCAGGAGATGCACTCCCCCTCTCACTTACTCATTTTTGGCTGGAGCCCCAAGTGTGAGGCTGGGCAGCGTTCAAGGATTTGTGTAAAAAAAGGAAAATATCTGCAAAACATCATGACCTCTCACGAAAAGAAGGTTCTGTTGAATCCCAGCTCTCCAGTTGCAGATATTACAGATGGGGAAGTTTTGCCAAGAACAGAAGGGAGTCAGATACGGAACTTCCATTAATTTAAAGGAAATGGAACATCTAAACCACTTGCACAGCTTTGAGCAGATGAGCTAAACATGTTTGCCAAAGAGATGGGGAGATTTTAATTCCTTTTTGACATCAACTATATTTTATTACTTGAAACACCAGGAAAATTTGTTCACACAAAGATGAGGGCTCCTGCTGGATGGTAGCTTTTCCCCTCGTAATTCTCCCTGGGCCCCCTTGCCTTTTTTATGTCCCTTCACCTATGTTCATAATGTCTGGGGCAGCATGCATCCCTCCTGCCATGTTAAGGAGCATGCTGTCCTAGTTTTCAGCTTGCAACACTTGTTGAAGGAGCAGCCTATACTCCCCACCCCAGGTGTGCCGATGCCCTGCGCCACCCACCGGCTGGGGGAGCCTCACCGCAGCCCTCACAACTGGTATTTCCTCAGCAGCTCGCTTTGCCACTGCCGTTTCTTATTGGGAAAGGCATGAGGGATCTTGATCTTCCGGAAGTCCTCGATGCATTTCCCCAGCTCGGACTGCAGCGCCTTCCTCTCCTCGCTCACCGCTGCGGCCACAGGGCTGCTCCCGACCCCGTTCTCCTTCACCGCCGTGTGGTCACTGTTACGCCTCTGCCCCATCTGCTTCACTTCCTCCAGCTTCTTCAGCGACTTGGACAAGTCCAGGGTGTTGGGGCGAGCTGGGCATTCTTCAGGGGCTTCTGGACATGGCATGGAGTCTGCAGGGCTGGGGTTCCCCTGCTCTGACTTGGAGTCTCTGCCTGAGATGCTCTCACCTGCGGATGGAGCAGGGCTGGGCTCGCTGTGACTGCTGGTGCTGGAGGCTGCAGCATCACACTCACACAGGGTGCTGACAGGGTCTTGCTTCATCCCTGGGTCTGGTCTGGGCTCCTCAGGGTCACTGCAGGCTGGGGATAAAGCAGAGAGCTGAGAGAGAGTAGGAACATGGCTTGTGATGCCATGGGGCAAAGCAGAAGAGCAGACATGTAAGTGTGTGGGTAGTGTGGTTTCATTTTCCTCTAAAATGTCTAAATTCTTAACCTACTGGTGTTGTTATTGTTTTTTGGGGGAGGGAAGTGGGGAGGAGGGAAGAGAAGGAAGGTTTTGAGTTACAAAGCAGAATATAAAATATTTCCATTTCAAATCCCTCAATCTAAACTTTGCCACCCATGGAAACAGAAAAACACAAGATCACAGGATATTTTGGGTTGGAAGGGACCTCAAACACCACCAGCCCCAACCCATGGGCTGGCTGCCTCCACCAGCTCCTGCTGCCAGGGCTCCATCCCACCTGGCCTTGAGCAGCTCCAGGGATGGGGCAGCCACAGCTCTCTGGCAGCAGGGCCTCACTGCCCTCTGAGTATAGAATGTTTTCCTAACATCTAATCTAAATCTCCCCCTCCTTCAGTTTAAAACCACTTTGCCTTGTCCTATCACTAAATGTCACTTTATTTTTCTCTGAAAACTTTTCTAAAGGGTTATTTTTCCCCTCTTCCTTTCTCTTTTCTTCTTTTTTTTATTTTGACATTTACTTGAACAGCTTCAGCACAACACTTACCAGAGGTGGAAAGCTGAAATGTCATCCATCACTGAGGAGCAGCCTTGAAGGCTGGATTTTCTTTGTCACATCTCACCAGGAAGTTACAGGGATGTATCTTAGCCCCAAATTATTTGAGTGATGGAATAAAGTCTCTAAGTTCTTAGACTGCTTTAATCACCTTATCTGCAAGCCTCACAACTGCCTTTGTGGAATGGGGAACCGAGGCAAGGGCAGCGTAAGCTGATGCACTCAAATTCACATAAGGAGCCTATAGCTTAGCTGCAGGCTGAACTCACATCTCTTCCCTTCTCCAACATCTTAGCTCCTAGGCCATCCAATGACGATAGCAAACTTGGCATTGCGATTTCTCTCCCTGTGTCAGTACACAACTCAGTCACGACCTTCTGCAAATACGAGCAGCCTAATTCTGTTAGTTTAGGTATGATAATTTGGGCCATTTCTAGGCGGCTGAGGCACTTTGCATAAATGGACTGGTGACTCCTAATGACTGCTCTTCAGAAATACTTATTAACTGCCCATAAGCAATTTACTTAGCTTTGCTTTATCTCAAACACCATAGCCTGCTCTGGTATGTTCTCACGCTAACATCTGCACAAATGGTCCTGCACACACTGAGAAGTACAGATCTCAGCAGGATTTTATTTTCTCCCCACACGATGCTGAAACACAAGCTTCCTCCTGGCTGAACGTCTTGGCCAAGTACTGCAGCCCAAGCATCCACCTGCATCAGCACATGATCCCAAACTGCTTAGGGCTGGAGGGGAGCCAAGGGCCATGCAGACCTGCAGGGGCTCTCCAAAGAAAATCAGATCCATGCTAGAATTTGCAGGATCCAGCAAGAGGCAGATGACAAGGAACAGATGTTCATCCTTCCCACTCTTCTGCACTGGTCACCAGCAGTTTTCCTGTGCCTGGTACAAGGCACTCGGATCCATGAATCCTAAGGCCTAAGCCGTGGCATCAGTCCTTCTGAGCACAGTTAAGAGTTTTGTGTGCTAGTGATTTCAGGGGCACGGGGACCTCTCTGGAATCTGACCTGTGCACAACCTAACACTGAGGCAGCTCAGTCTTCCAGGATATTGCCTTGCGATTGATCATCTCTAACTTGTGAATGTCCTATCCCTGGAATTGCTCAGGGCCAGGTTGGATGGGATCCTAGGCATTCTGACTTAGTGGGTGGCAACCAGCCCATGCAGGGATTTGGGACTGGATGGGCTTTAAGGTCCCTTCCAACCTAAGCCTATTCTATAGTTCTATAGCTCTGGACAAATAATTTCATTTTCCCCTGGGCTAAACTTCCCTCACATCGCATTTCTTGTCTATAGCAATATGAACCCCCGTGTCTGACAATATGTGGGTACAGCTCCTGAGATGACCCCAGCACACATCACCACTCTTCCTGAGTGCTCCTCACACTCAGCTGGGAGAAAGGATCTGTTACACTGACAGATTTTATCATCCTTTTTTAATTTTCTCAGACTTTTCTTCCTGCGCGACACTTTTGTCTGCTGTAGAGCATCAATTAGAGCACGGAAGTGACACTTCCAAGGCAGCCCCACGGTGCTGCTGGAAATCCTGCTGAGTGCAATTAATGGGCTCCTGCACGTGGCAAGCTCATACGTTGCAGAGGAAGAACACATTGTCCCAGCTCCTTGCTGCTCTTGTGGATAGCACTGTTTTCTTAGTGCTTGACAAGGAGATGAACTCACCATGTGCCATGTCCCAAGCTCACATTGTTTGCTTTGCTCTGTGTTAGTGCCTCAAGCTCCAGAAGAGACCTGAGCCCAGAGGTCCAGCATAGCCCTGTGGCTCTGAATGAAGCATTCCTAGTTTCCTTTCTAGAAAAGAAAAGTGGCTGATGCCAGAGGGATGTTGCTGGGCTTTTAGGACAGATCTGTGTGTTGAGGAGTGAAAAGCAGTTCATACCTACATTGCTTCCCTGCGCCAATGGGGGACTTTCAGCTCAGACCAGATTGGCTTCAAAGATGGCTCTTCCTCTTCTACTACTTTTTCAGACACCTACGTCTCACAGAAAAAGAGGAACTATTTTGTCCCAAACAAAAGCACTCTCTGAGCTCCTACCAGACAGTCAGACAGAGAGATGGGCTTTAGAGGGAAGCCCTCCCCACGGGCAGAAGCAGAGCTCTGTGCATCTCTGTTTTTGCTCTGTGGTTGCATTTTGTTGGTTCTTTCCTTCCAGATTTTATAAATGAAAAACACCACCACCACATAGTTTGGGGTAAAAAAATCATGCCCCACTTTCTGCACAAGCTTATTCAACTCCTTCCTAGCCTCTTTGGTGTAGCATGTTGTGACATGGAGATGGAAGAAAGTTTCAGAATGAGCTGGAGGAGCTCACTCAGTTTGCATCCCTGTTTGAGCCTGAAGGAGGTGGGCACGGGCCTGAACCATTTGTTTGAATCAAAGTTTTGCTAGTACTAAAAGTGCATTCAGAAAACAGATAGATGCTGCCTCCTCCCCCCCCCCTCCCCCTCACACCCCCCCCCGCCCTAAATATTTCTCGTGCAATCTGATGGTGATGGGTTTACCTGCAGCCTACTCATGCTGGATGCAGAATAGCTGCTGCTCCGCCAGCTCCTTATCCCCATGAATCTCAGGTCTCACCTCTGCCCAAAGTGATTATTGAAAAATCAAGCTGAGCCTGAAAAGTGATGTCTACACTTCTGTCTGTCTCTAATCCCACTTATTTCATCAAAGAAGGACAAGACTCTGTGTAAATAAATGGCTCTGACCCCATCTGCCCACAGCAGTAGCCTCTGCATTCCCAAGAGCCTCAATTAGCCTGGTTGTGCCAGTGAGACTGCACTAAATCTGCATCTCTGGTGACACTGTGCATGGATTAACTGCTATGGTAACACCAGTAGGACCAGGACAAGCAGCTTTTGGCTTTAAACTTCCCTGCTAAAGACAAAACTCCTCCTATCCCCCATGGGGCAATAAACATATATTGCTCCTACAGTTAAGGTTAGTTTCTGCAGCTGCAACATTGCAGCTAGAAGAAAACCCAAGCTACCCAGTGTGGATCCCTTGACAGATCCAATTCTGCAGCCTTGAAACAATAATCCAGATTGTCCTTTGTCACTCAGGTTGGACTTTGCCATCAGGAGGAGGTTGGGTGGGTGAAGGACTTGAGGATTTCACATGTGCTTCTGAGAGCTGGCTGCAGGATGAGCAACTCCTCCTGGAGGGAAGGTTTGGCTCTCGGGGCAAAGCTCTTAGCAGGACCTGCTGGTGCTGATGCTGTGAGATGTCCCAGCTGCAGGGAAAATCTTTTCTGAGAATAATGTCTGCCTGCAGTTTGCTGGAGGAGCTGAGAGATGCTTCCTGAAGCACACCAGCAGAGATGGAACCCCTACCTGATGGCCAGCAGTTCTGTCAGACAGACACTTAGCAGAATTGCTATGTTTCATTTTACTTTTGAGTCAGTGACTGCAGCTTTATGGCAGGGAGACGACTTGCAACAAGTTTTGTTTAGGCAAAACAGGATGAATTCAGACATGAGAGGTCAAATTACAGTGGCAGATGTTGCAAGCTGCTGCAGCTGCAGCCAGTGGATCCATGCTGACTCACACCAACAAACCTCTGCTCTGGGGAAGATGCTTCAGTGCTGCATGAAGCAAAAGCAGCCTTCACTGTGCACTTCTTGCCAAGCCAATCTCTGCAGGTAAGACTTTCCAATTCCTTGGCAGGAGTCAGTCACCAATATTGCACATGGTAAATACTTTGCAAGAGGTGCTGCTCTCCCTGTGGAGAGATTTGCAAGCTGGAAGGGGCCAGGAGATTTTTCCAAGGGCATGGACTGGCCTGGGGAATGTCTACCTGAAGCAAACCATCACTAGCTGCATTAAGAACCCAGCAAGAGGAGGTTTCAGAGAAGTGTCACAGTGGATATCTCAGCGTGCGTTACTGCATTGGTCCTGGGATAATTTGTTCCCAGCCATGGGAAATTATCACTGTATGTGTTCCCAGGTGGGATGGTGGAAAGATGATGGAGGAAATAGAATGTGCAAAAGGAAAAAAATGGAGCACAGATATTCTATGTAGTTGAGATTGGTAGGAGAAAAAGGTTTCTTACTTTTGTGTGTTTTTTGGCTATAAAATACTGTATGGGAACTGCTCAGTCACGGCCTGAACCTCTGATTGATCACCTGAGGCGAGCCATGAGCCAGCCAGAGGAGCACAGGTGAAGGCAATTCTCCTGTGCTGCCGGAAGGGGTAGAGCCAGGCTCCACCCCTCCTAGACCTATTTAAGAGTTGGCTACCAGTGGGGAAGGATCTCTTCTGGAGATCACCCCTCTTGGTGTCTTCTGGTGAGCTCAGCTGAAGGGTAAGCTCTTCCACTAATTCTCTTTTGTGATCATTGTTTACTTTGCCTAATTCTCTTGATTATATTGTGATTATAACATCTTGATATCTATTGATTATATAATTATATTGTAATTACAACATCTTGATTATACAAATACCAACAGTGGAACATTAAGTCTTTTACAGCTAGAAGTGTATGCCTAGTAACTGGGTATCATCTTCACTGGGTGCTCTATAAATGAGCTCAAGAAAGACAGGAGAATCTGGCAAAGCAGCAGCTCCTCATGCTGGGACCTGCATCTCCATGTCTCTTGCTGGGAGCTTCCACCAAATGGATACTGCTGCCTTCTGCTGTGTCAGCAGATGGCAGGGATTGCTTTGCAGTTTCTCAGGAGATCAGGGGCACTCGTGTGACTGGGAGATGAGTGATCACTGGTTTTGGATGAGCCATCCTGACTGTGGAATTGTCTAAATGCTTACAACCCAGGATATATGATTCAGCCTTTCCATCTGATCTCTGCCATGGCATGTGCACAGGGAAACTTCTTCCTGGAAACAGCTCAGCATGGGAAGTATTCTTGAGCATGGGAAAGCGTATGGACATGACTTATAACTTGTATTGACTTATGACATGGTAAGCACACAACAGTACAGATATGTCTGGGATGTGGGATTACATAGGCTAGTATCACTCAGATTGATGTTTCTGAGTGGAGATCTCACACTGTTTGGCCCAGAAGACCCCCTCTGGTGACAAAGCTAAGCTTCATGGTCACTGAGGCTAAACCAGAGCACCCCAGATTCCCAGTGATTGAAAACATGGTGAGAAGAAACCCTTGAAGCCCAGTGACCCTCAAATGAAAATCCCACCTTTGCTACTGATGGGAAGAGGCTTCATTAGCAGTGCAGCCCTAACCATAGTTGCTCCAGAGGAGGCATTCCTTCCAGAAATTGGGAATTGATATAGCAGGAAGAAGAAGAAACTATACACAGGACTAATAAGAATACATATCTCTATTCAGAGTCTACTGCTTAGTGCAGGTCCATCAAGGTGGCCAGTGCACGGTTCTGTCTCTGACTGCAGGCACCCAGCACATCAAACAGCACTTTTCTCACCTGGAAGGGCTTCTGTCGTGTCTGTCTTGAGGTCCAGGATGGGCTCAGAAGAAGACATGTGTTTTTTAGAGCTCTGCTCTGTTTCTGAAGGCTGGGGAACAGGCAGACTGAGCCAAGAGCTACCTAAAAAAATCAAGACCAAGAAAAGAAACTCATAGAAAGTGAATGATGCACAGAGAGCAAGGAAGGTAGAGTTGGCTGCACTCCACATATGAACATCACCAGGGCCTGAATGACCTCCCAGAGAACCCTGCTGTGTGTCCGTGGTGAAAAGGGGTCTGGGCACTATCTGCTTCAATGCCTCCCAGATCCCTCCCGATGGTAATAGCCCATCCTCTCCATGACCAGGTCTCAGAACTGGATCATCTCACAATGCAGTAAGTCCAGACTGTGTCATTTCCTTGGGCTGATCCTGCTCTGCCTGTGACAGTGGCTGTGTTTCTGCAGGATATGCCTGTGGGGACACATCTACTAGAAATCCTCACCCAAATCATTCGGGATTGGCAACTCTGAGCTGCTCATGTATATGTCCAAAGGCTGTGATGTGCACTGAAGGTGTGAGGACACAGTGGGACACACGTGTATGGCCCACGCACACTCTCATCCATGTAGGCCCCCTTTTTACTCTATACGGATGCTGGAGAAATAGGCTTTGCAGACAACCTATCCACACACAACTCCCATGAACCACAGCCCATGAACTCATGGGGCAAAATAAGATGCTGCATCCAGGAGAGGGCAGCAGAATCCCAGCAAGCTCCATGCCCTTCATCACTCCTGAATTACAGTTGCAAACTCTTTCCTGAGCTGTAAACACAGCTTTTTACTCTCTATGGCAATATTCTTCGCCCAGACACTCTAGAAAAGTTTTTGTGGTCACCATGTTTCAGCAGGCCTATAAACGGTTCTAGTTAATGTCCCGGAGTAGCTATTGTTGCACCCTTTTCATTGCAGGAACAGTCTGTGGTCCCAAGTTGAGATGTGGAGGAGGAAGTTTGAGCTGAACTCTGTGCCACGGGGCCTTGAAACACTTCTGGGTGCTGCGTGGGTTGAGGGCAGAACTCAGCTCCTGAGCCGTCATGGTGCATCATGTCCTTTGCTGGCAGACTTGTTCCCTCTTCTCTGGGTTACAGGAGCGTAGGACATGGGGAAGAGCATCTGCTCCCCCCCATATGAGACAAGGGAATAAAGTCCTGAATTCAGGTCCTGACACATATGTAGAGAGGAAAGAGTTTCTGATGAAGTCAGACCTGCAAGGCTGAGGCTCCTTGGTGTGCTTTAGTGACCCCAGGATGCAGCACCAGGCAGAGTTGTGGTTCCCTGTGCTGTCATGCAGCAGATGAGAGCAGCTGTGCAAGCCAGCTCTTATTAAAGATTTAAAAGGCAAGCTGTCAGCAGTGCTGCTAAGAGGTGGCTTTTCCTGTTATAGCTCTATCCTTCTCTAATACTAATAGGATTTGAGGGAGGAGGAGAAGCAGCAGTGTGCCGGCCAGCAGAGGGTGAGTGCTTCTCTGTGCAGAGGCTTTGCACACCTGAAAGTAGATTTTTCTAATTTTTCTGTATTGTCTGGAGGCAGATGGGAGGTAGCAATCTCCATGTCTTTTTCATAATTATATATGTTGGTTGTTGTTGCAAGGGGTCAGTAAGGACTATACCGAACCTTCTGCCCTGTGTCCATAGAATCCTCCTTTGTGTCCTTCATGGCATCCCACTGAAACTCCTTGGGTCAGTCTGGGTGAGGAATTTCTATGGGAGAGTGCTGCCCAAGATTTCAGCCAGCAAATACACAGAGATGTGGAGGCAGTCAGGTCTGAATTCAGATCTCCCGATGGAAGAAAAACTCAGCCTCAGAATGATGACATACAACTCAATGCCCTGGGAGTCGTTGTACTGCAGAGTGCTCCAGGCATAGGAGGGATTTCATGTGTTAATAGCAACGACTTCAACACCAATTAGCTTAGCTCACTCTTCAGTCAATGCCATACAAACAACATATAGACAGGCTGTATATTGCAGGCAGTTTATGGCTTGATTGAAAGTGATGGCTCTGAAGCCAGTACTTGGAGCAGTAGTTCAAGTCATCGTAATTCATGTGCTGCTTTCTGCCTCCCATGCTCAGGACACAGCAAGTGGCTGGAGCTCTTGGCCCTGGGTTAAAGCCTTCTTTGGCAATGGGTGAAGCAGGACAGGAGAGGGGATGGGAAGAAATGCTAGGAAATGAATTCTCCCCTGGAGTCAGCCAGAGTTTGAGGAAACCCAGAGCCTGCCTTGTACATCTGCCAGGACTGATTCATGAGGATGTACTTATTAAAGAAATACGCATTTATTGCTGGTTCCCTGCCAATCTCCTTCCACAAGGAGTCAAACCATTCCAGCAGAGAAAACAGAAGTCCCCCTGCTTTCACTGATACTGGTGCAGAATGAGGCCACCAGAGCAGGGTCACCTGTTTCTATTGGTGCCAAAGCCTCAGGTCCATTAAGAACACCTCTCCTGAGCTAAAACTTCATGTCCCAACCCTCATCAAAGCACAGCCTCAGCTGTGAGATCTGAAAATTTCACTTCAGCAGTGAGAAGGTAGCAGAAAGGACTGCGCTATCCTGGCTCAGGTTTTCCACCTACCTAGCTGCTTCCTATCTCTAAGGAAAACTCAGCTTGTCTGGCCTTGTTACTTTCCATTTTTTGCCAAAATTCAGCTACTGTTTGCCCTTTTGTATGGAAGACATCTCCCCACCCAAGTGCTTCTTGTTCTTCCACCATTTTATGGAAAACGATCTCAGTCATGGTCCCTGCTTGCAAAGTGGAAGGTTCCTTCAAGAGCATCAAGGAATCGCTTGTAAGGAAGCAATGAGGAAGGATTGGGAAAGTGCTTTCCAGAAAGACTGTACATTTGAACGTGCTGTTCCCTGGCAGTGTGTCCAGCACAAAAGTGGCTCCAGCTGTCTTTCTTTACACCAGAATATGCATTTCTGTATCATTTCCAGGAGTCACCTTTCAGAAAGCAGACCCACAGGCGATTTCCACACAGTGCTCACTTCCTCTCTTGTTACTTTTGCCAAGAAGAAATTCCACACACTGATGGTCGCACAGGGAGATCCCAGGCAAGACTGGGAGACTGCTCAGTGTGCTGACCAAGCTGGGGACATCAGAGGCAGGAAAGTGAAAGAAGAAGGTGGGAATGATTGCAACCCTTAATATGCTGGGAGAAAGAACAGCAGAAGTCCTTTCTTCAAGCCAAATCAAATGTTCTGCTCAATCCCAAAGGGAAGAGTTCATAAAGAGCAGGGGATGAGGATCTGGGTCATCCACTCTGGCAGATGCCTTGGCCATGTAGCACAGATCTGTGTTTCTATCATCCAAACAGAGTCTCAGCGTCTGGGCAGCAAGAAAGGGAAAAATGTCTTCTTCACCTTTTCCTTTATCCAGAAGTTCTTTTCCTATTTTGCAGAACCTCTGTCCAGCCTGATCCAGATGAGTCAATCAAAACAGCAACTTACTCCCGGTGTGCCCCTTTGTCTTGGAGTTTTCCACCAGATTTCCTGTTTTTAACTCTTCTTCTAATGTCAGTCTGGGGAGCTGAGGGCCACAAAATCACTGCAGCTCTGTAATGATCTGAGCTAAATCCTATCCCAATACACAGAAATGCAGTATGCAGACCCTTATGCCCTGGGTCCAGCTCCTATGTTCAAGTGCACGTCCAGCCAGAGTGGACAGCAGGAACATCATTATCTCTTTCCAAAAGAAGTCATAGAAGGGTGAATAAATTTTCAGAGAATAGAAACCACTTCACCCCAAAACTGAGAGGAAGTCTTGAAACTGCAGAGTCCTCTGCCTTCTTTACCTTTTTCTCACTCTTTGAGTCTTGGTTCAAACTCAAAGAGAGTTTGAAACCAAGACATAATACATTGCAAAATCTGCCAGAGTCTGATCCAGCCTGGGGAAGCCTCTCTTCCATGTTACTTCTGAAATTTTCACCTTTCCGTTTCCTATTAGGAACATAAATCCTCTGGATAATGACTGTGGTTCTGACCTACAGCCTTTCCCCAAAGCCAAGGAATGTGTGGAAAGCATTTCCCTGTGAGTCAGGAGTCAAGTATGGGTTGAGAAATGCAATGCAATGGAGGCGCTATGCTTTCAAGGGAGATACAGTGTCTTTCAACTTGTCCTGTTGGTCTCCATCTCCATGTATACAGATGTTCACAAGAATGTCTTACTGAGGATCCTTATTCATATACTAAATACACAAGAGATGGTTACATCTCCCTTCTGCATCCTCTCCAGCCATCCTTGTTCCGATCAGCCTTCAAAGAGATTAAAGCCCAGTATTTGGGAAGATTTTGATGTCCTTATCGAAATGTGTTGACTTGGCTTCACTTTCTGTCTCAAAACCAGTTTATTCAGCAGTACAACAGTTTAGATGACATCCTGCAAGTGGGATGAAGGGCCTATGGCCACCAAGCACTGAATCTCCTGGGAATCAGGAGCAGCACAACAGTATTACTGAATCTGGGCTCCTTAAGCCCTCCAAGACCATCTTTACCACCCAGCCTTGCCCTGGACCATCCTTTGGGGTGCCTTTACCTGGGAGGCTGAAGTGCCGGGAGAGTTGCCTGGAGAGTTGTCCTCGCACGACAGGACCTGGAGAAAAGGAAAAGATATGGGTCTGGCTCTCCGCTTCACTATGACAACATTGGTGACTTCCCTTCAAAAAAGCACATCCCTTGGAGGGGTACAAGGAAAGGGAAAGAGCACCCATCACATGAAAAATGATGTCCAGTGAATTTCCCTTGGATGTGCACTGTGATCCCAGCCTGGTTTTACATGATTTGTCATGAAATGCCTCTGATAGGTAATTTGATGCATCCCTCTAGAGCACTTCATATAATTTTGCAGTAGTGATTAAGACGAGACCCTACCTTAACCAAAGAATAGGACCACCAGCTCAACCCCCTCTTATTATTTCATTTGAAGAGATGCTCTCGCACAAGCTGGAAGTGGCCATTTTTGAAGGGAAGATGTTTGCCAAAAGCATCCTATAGGAACAGGAACAAGGCAATGGACTGCATGGCATCCCCGAGACAAGGGAGATGTCTGAGCAGGTGGATATCCCTCCAACCCAGTCCCCTTGGCACCCCTTGGTACATCAGCACCAAAACCCCTTCTAACAAGAGAGCCGTGGAGAGCAGCCAATGGTTTTCTCCTTAGAAAGCTGTAGGATACAACCAGCTGTAGGGTACAACCAAACATTTTTGTGCTTGTTAAGAAGGTGAATGTCTATGGGAAAGCCCCAAATGGTGTCATTTAGTTTAATCACAGAAGAAGATCAGACTGAAAAGAGACTTCTCTCCCTCTCTAGCTTGAGCTGGTTGCCATTGGAAAGAAATTTTCCCTAGAAACACATTAATGCAATGTGGGACTCAGGCTAAAATTACACTTAATCTTGCTATATTGTTTGAGAAGAGAAAAACAGTATTTCATTTAAAGCTGCAGAAGGAAACACATTTTCATATGTCAGAAAAGGTATTTTTTCAGTGCTATTTCCTGTGTTTTTGGTGTATTTGCAACTAGTCTTAATTAACACCTGCATTTTTTTCAGCAAATACATGGTTCAACTGAACACGTTTGCAAGGATCCATTCAGGAACTGGAACTGATGTGGTACGCAGCAAGCAAATTGAAATAATTATTAAAGGCAGAGTTAAAAGCCGTCTGCATGCTCCTAATACACAGGGCAAAAGTATTCATCTTATGATAAGTCAACAAAATAGTGGATAATGGAGAACAGTTAATACATTTTCCTGAGTGCTTTTTGATAAAGACCATCAAAGAGGCTTTTAAGAAAACTCAATTGCCAAGGGGGGATTGTCTGGCTTCCGCAGTGTATTAAAAGCTTATTAAGATGGAGAAAAGAAGAAATGGAATCAAGAGTTCATTCTCGACATATAAATAATATAATAATAGGACATCCCTGAGAGTCCATTTTAGGATGAAATCTTTTGTTAACGATGCAGGGGAAAGGGCAAACAGTCAAGTGGAAAATTTTTACAGAGAGCAGAGAGTAATATCTGCTGGCTGAGGCCAGGGAGGCTGCATGGGGACTTAACGAAGGCGCGCTAATGAAAAGCCTGCCGACAGGTTAATTGAAACTCTGGGCAGTGAAAAGCGATGCGTGTGAGAGGGCGTAGCTTGAGATTTTCGTGCACTTTGGTGGGTTTTGAATTAGAAAAATACAGCAAGACCCCGGGGCTGTGCTGGGCAGATGAGGAAATGCTGGCTAAGCGCTCTGAGCTGGTTGTGTTGGGCACAGAGATGAGAAACCACAGAAGATCTATGCAAAAATACCCTCAGGGAATAGAGCTGGGCTCTAATTTTGGCCACTTCCCCTCGGGACAGACAGACAGGAGTAGTGTCTGCCCAAAGCTGGTTGTGAAAGGCACAAAGGGGTTTTTACACTTGGGAGGGTGAGATAGGAGGGGCATGAGAAAACAAGTAAGGAAGGAGTTGATGGGGGAATTGCTATAATCATAAAAACACATGGCTTTTAATGGGAAGGCCCTTTAAGGAGGCCCTCCATCCCCAAATTAGGTTAGATACAAACTGACATGATAAGAGACAGAGGCCAAGATGCTAAGGGGTGCTGGGCATCGCCACAAGCCAAGGTTTAGGGATCCTCCCAGAGCAGGGCCAACACAAACCGTAGGGATTTTTCATGGGGTTTCTTCCACCTCAATCTGAAACATCTCTGCCAGGCACAGCCAAGGGCAGGACACAGAGCTGGGCTGATAAATCCTCTCCCAGTCTTTCTCTTTAATGTATTAGTTTGCATTTTCAGTCTGCTCACGTATCATTTCTAGATAGGTCAGGGCACGTAATCCCCCTAGGTTTATTCATTATTAGAAAGCTTTTCAGTTTTCCCTTAACATCCTTTGGAGCTGATGTGATTACAGAATACGTCCTCTGGGACAGGAGTGGGAATTCTGTGAAGGTGGTGCAAAGGATGGAGGTGCTCAGAGGAGCTGAGAAAGGGCAGGAGATGAGTGGAAAAGCCAGCAACACTTTAGAACCCTACTGCTATTATATATATTTTTATATATACATATATATATATATATATATATATTTTTCCCCCCTGTATTCTTAAAGCACAAGCAGTAGCTCCCAGGTCTGCTCCACCATCAAGATTTACTCAGTGCAAATAATTCTTTAACTCCACATCCTGCGCTCAGAGCTCCTGCACGTGGAAAAGTTGATTTCTGACACCATGCCCACATTGAGCATCCTGCTTTATTTACAGGAGGGACAACATTCCCCATGCAACCATCCCCTGGTGTTGGTGATTCTGGACCCAAACTTTATAAAGGGGCAAAGCCAGGGTGATTCCCCCCAGCCATTGTCTGCAGAAGAATCAATCAGAAAAATGCAACCTCATGGAGCTTTAAGGTTGGAGCTTAATCCCTTTAAATCAGTGTCACTGTACTCCCAGCCACTGATTATTTAAATAATGGCTTGATATTTTTTAAAAATTTGTTTTTAGTCCTCAGAAGAAAAAAAACCAAACCACTGGATTTTTTTTCAGATGTGAAATGGTACAAATGGAAAATCACAACTGTACTGTTTTACATCTCCTTGCTGGCTATGCAGGTTGGTGCCCTCACTGCAGGAAAAAGCTGGAAAAGATTGGTAAACACAGGTGGGATTGCCCAGAGTAAAGACATGCCTGCCAAAGTCTCCAAGGCTGATTTTAGCCTTCTGCCTGGCAATGCTAGGGCAGGAGAGGGGCAAAAAAAAAAGAAAAAAAGAACTGTTAGCCTTTCAGATGGTGTGGTTTTGGTGGCCCTGTGGTGAGCTATGGCTTCTCCTTTGAAAAAGGTGTCAAGGCAGAGAAAAACCAGCAGTGCTTTGTGAAGACCTGGAGGAGAGATGATCTGGGTCATAACTGGAGTTCTCGCACTGCACCCCATGGATGTGAAGGGTCACTGCTGCCCAGTTGCTGGGCTGTAGGAGAAGCAAATGCCAGCGCCAGCACATGTGGTTCAGTGACTGCAGAGCAAGCTATGGGTTGTGGTGGCAGGAAAGCCAGGACAGCCTGGAAGTCCTTGAAGAGCTCATGAAAACATGTTCCCTCTGAATTACCTGTGTTCATAGACAGGCACCATGAACCACATTTGGGTGCTGCCAGTTGCCTGCTAGAGCCTTCCAACCTCTGTTTATTATGCGTTTTGAAATCTGTGCATGTCCCCCACCTGTAGCTCATTTCCTGCAGGCACCAAGGAGATGCAAGCTCAGATAGGGCTGTGGACGCAGGTGGGGTTAAGCAGAAGACATAGGCAACAGTGGCATGGGGTAAGCAGGCAGATGCTGGCAGAGCAGAGGAAGTGAGGGTGATGTAAAACAGCAAGATGAAAGATACAGCTGAGACGGAAATGAGAGCGCAGCATCTTCTCCTCAGTGACAGTCATGGGGCTTCTTATGGTCTACCCCAGCCAGGCTGCAGGCAGAGAGCATCCCTGTGATTCCCTAGCAGCTCTGGAGCTGCTGACAAATGAGAGGGGATGGGTGCATTCACAGATGTGCTCTAGGGGAGCACTGCTGGCAAATGCTTGTCCAAATTTATCCAGAGGAGACACCAACCCTCCCCAGGGACATGCCTCTGGTGCTGCTGGAGCTGATAGGAGGTGTTGGTAACGCCCAGTCACTTCTCTGTGGCGACCTCAGTGTTTCTATTCTCAGCCCTTCTTACCCTGACCTTACAGTACAACTGATTACCATCCATTTTATAATTAAACTTAGCCTGATGCTGAACTGTTTTCTCGTCATCTTCTTTCTAGACTAAACAAAGCCCATTTCTTTAGCATTTCCTAATAAGCTATGGTTACTAGACCTCATCACTCGTACTTGGATTGGACTTCCTCCAGCTTGTCAACATCCTTCTTACTCTGGTGGGCAGTATGTTCCAGTCCCAGTGCCAGGCTGAGGAGAACATACCCATGTCTCCCACCATCAAGGCTCCTGCAAACATATTGCTATCTGGCATGCATTTTTCTGCCAAAGTCTCTCCCCCCTGATGCATGCTAAACAAAGCATAAGCCTTTTCTCAGCTCTGCTTTCTGCTTGATTTTGCCCTGTTTTATACCTGAGTGACCAACGTTTTCTCAGCTTCTCTGGAGAATTCCTATCCTGTTTCTTTTGGGCAGATCAGAGCATCCCATGCATTGTACATGGGTTACTGTCCCTGCCACCAGCAGAGCTGCTAATGACAATATTGATTGCAGCTGGTCTGCAGGCAGACATCCTGCTTGTTGCTCCAGCAGCGTCTGCTCAATTCATCTAGACCAGGTTTCTCAGCAGCAAAACCTTGCTTAGGAGAGAACACCAGGGTGTAGTTCCTGTCCCACAGCAGGAACTTCTGCTCTGCCCCTCCCAGCCCATATTATCTGTACCTACGCCTAGCAGGGGTGGTTTCAGGCAGGAAACCTCCAAATGACAGTGAGACAGCTGGGGAGAAGTGCTGAGCACTGAGTGAGTGGGAGCTCTTCTGCAAATATGAGGGGAGGGCTGGGGTCAGACTCACGGGCTCCTATCATCAGCTTGAGTGTTTTTCTTCCTAGCCATCTGCTGTGTGTGCCCTCCAGCTCCTGAACATCAGCACCTAAATCCTGGCACACATCATGGCACAGGTGATGGAGGCCGTTGATGCCCATTCCTGGATGCTTGGGGCTACATCAGAGCAATCCGGACCTGCCAGCCCAGACTTAGCTCAAAAGCATGAACACCAATCCCAGCCCACACAGAGGTCAAAGCTCCAGGCTCAGCCTTAAGCTAAAATTATTTATTCTGGATTATTTATCTTTTTCCCTCACTGTCCCTCCTCCACAATCCAGCTACACTGAGAGTTTGCAAGGTGTGCTCCCAGCTAACGAGGCTGCTTCTGTCTGAGATACCCTAAACCACCTCTGTCCTCATCCTGCAGCAGGGGCAGGTCCCACAGACTCCTGGCACAACTGGTTTCCCTGCTGACCCCGGGTCTCCAGATTATTGCGAGTTGAGCTCATGCCCACAGCTCCCAGACAAGCGGCTTTCTCAGGAAGCGCCATCCTGGAAAATGCAGCCCCAGAGAAAATAAACTCCCCCGAGCCACAGAGAATGACCCGAGCCTGCAATTTCTCCCTTGCTGTCTGGAAACGACTGGGGTTTTGTTTTCCAAGAGATTAAAACACAGGGTAGGGATGTTATTTTAGGGAACGGCTGAGCCCCATCAAACCTCGTCCTGTTTGTGCAGATGCAGAGCTGGGCTGGGCTCCAGGCCACCGTCCTCCCCCCGCAGGGATGGCTCTGGGCTTTGGAAAAATGACGCACAGAGGCACAGAGGGGGCTGCTTTGCAGGTGGTGCTGAGCTATTCCAGCCACTGAGCACAAATGTGATTGCAAACAAATGAAATCCTCCCCCTGAAAAGCTCGTTTATACCTGGAATTAATGCTCGGGATCATTGTGTGCAGGGGGTCATTTGTGGCTGTGGATTTTGGCCAAAGTGATGGAGTTTATGATAAGGGATGCTCTACAGAGTATCGGACATAATGTTCATGGGGATGGAGTTGGACTGAGGTCCCAACTGTGTCTCTGATCAGTGAGACCCTTCTGCTGGCAGCCCATGCTCTACCCTCCCCACCTGTGTTCCATGGTCCTGCATTCATCTATATTTTTTACAACTCCCCCTCAAAAAGACATTCCAGGGGGCTGAGGCTGGGCACAACAGGTGGGCTGTCAAGCAGGGAAGAAACCCAAACCCGGAGTTTCTAGAAGTGTGCTGTGATTAATTTATAGTGACTCAGCCTTTTGAGCAATGGTTTCAGATGTAAATAATTGCCTGCTGCAGGTACACTGGCTGGATGAGGAAAGTTTACTGCTTGGCACAGTCATTCAACAACCACATGCATGAAGCACCATGCACTTTGTCTTGTTCAGCTGCTGACAAAGGCATCAACTGGGTCATTAACTTGAATTTCCCAATCAGTTTGGCTACCAAAAGGACCAACTATTATCTTTACATAGGGAATGCCCCATAAACTCCGTCACCTTGGGGCTGTGCTCACTGCCCTGGGAAGCCTTTCCCATCTTTGTGGCCACCCATTGGATGCTCTCTGACAGATTGATGACCCTATGTTGTGGTACACAAACTATTCACAGTGCTTGAGGTGAGGCCACTGAGTGGGACAATGAAATAAAGTGGGATTTCCTCTCACATTTCCTCTCAGCACACAGCCACTACCAACTCCATCAATACAGAGGAGCAGATTGATCACTCAGCTGACTCCCAGACCTTTTCTGTCCAGCCGGGTAGTTCAGTCAATGCTGAACTAATTGCTACAGAAGCCCAAAGCACAGTTTCTTATGGGTTTTGCACATACATCACAAGTGTATCTTAAGCCTACTGCTTAGGTGTCTCTTGGGAATCCTGGTGGAGTCCATGGAGAGACATCTGCACCTCTAATGCTGTGAATGCCCCTGTGTTAGATGCCTAGGTGCCACTTCCAGATAGGCATCTCATCCTCCACCACTTCTGCTGGACTAGCAAAGGACAGCCAGCTCAGATTGACATCCAGCTTGAAGGTGCTGAAGGTGCAGATCAATGTACCTGATTGCACAGGCTATCAGCTTCAGGCAAGTAAAAATCTGTATTGGTAATGGCTCCATGTTGAAGGTGCAACCTCAGCTGTAATGGCCTTGCTAGTGAGTATCACCTCACATTAATAGCTCCCTCTGTGCTGGAGTACTGATGTGTGGAGAATGGGTTGAACTCCTGAGGGACACAGTCAGCTGCCCATCTCCAAGGAAGCAATCCATGCTCTGGCACTGTGGGACCTGCATGTGTTAAACTGCAGATGTTCTTAGCCCCCTCCAACAGTTTTTCATCTAAGATGTTGCTAAATATCTGAGAGTACACAGAGCTGTTGATCTTATCACTGGTGGACATATGTCTGCTCAGCAGGTCACAGTGACCACTGCTAGCTGGGGGATGTCTAAGTGCAGGTGCACGTGGGGAAGCCTTCTTTGCCCTGGGAGTCGTGGGAGCATCTCTTCCCTAGTGAGCCTGCAGTCTCCTCTTGGCAGCCTCTGTCAAAAATTCTCCTTGATTGTGTTGAAATTCTTCCTCCTGCCTGGTTGTTGCACGCCATGGCTACCACTCTCCTGTTCATCCACTTGGCACTGGGGGTGGGAAATTCTGATGAAGAATTTCAGCTTAAATGGCTTCTTACTGAAACAGAATCTGGGGAGAACTAATTGATTTCAGTGTGATTTTTAATGATTAACTACAGAAGGAAAATCAGAATTTCTGTAATAAAAAAAAGTGGGTAGGTTTGAAGATGAGAAGGAAAGGGAAGGGAAGGGAAGGGAAGGGAAGGGAAGGGAAGGGAAGGGAAGGGAAGGGAAGGGAAGGGAAGGGAAGGGAAGGGAAGGGAAGGGAAGGGAAGGGAAGGGAAGGGAAGGGAAGGGAAGGGAAGGGAAGGGAAGGGAAGGGAAGGGAAGGGAAGGGAGATGGAGCTCCCCAGGAAGAATCATCATTGCAACATTCAGCAGGGCTGAGTGCCTCCCAGCCAATGTTAGAACAAGGAAGGTTTCCCAGTTCCTGCCAAACCTCTGTTTGACATGAGAAAGGGCAGCCTGTCATTCACCTTCCTGACACTGACAGATGACCTCAGCTACTGCAGAGAGAGGGAGGAGAACTGCCTATGGCAAAGTTCCCCGGTGCCAAGACCTCATCTCTCTTGGAAAATGCAAAGATATCCCATCACATGGAATACTCTTTGCTTTCTGGAATCTGCAAAAGCATTAAAATTGGAGTTAGGAAGGGAGGAATGCTAGGGAGAAGAGTTCCAGACTCTCTGGTTAAATTAGCCTGGAGGTATTTGACGCAAGGCAACAAAACCTTATTGTAACCCCAATGTGTTGAGTACACGTTCAGCTTTCTGGCATGCTGAGAAGCACTTTCCTGCCCAGTTCTGCTCGTGTGACTTCAAGAAGACTGGGAACTCTTCCAAGCTGGGACTTGGGGACTTCAGTTCTCCGGAGCAAAATGAGTGTTAAAGACTGCAGTGTGACTCCTTGTTGATTTTTGTTTCCCCGGGGTTTTGTGTTAAATACTGTCCCTGCACACAAAGAACAATGATATTTTGGGAACGCCCACCAGGAAATGTTTGGCCGCACCCTCGCTTTCTCTGCCCTTGGAGTCTCTCCATTAAATTGAATGAAGTCAAATGAGATGTTTCCACTTACACAAACGAGAAGCTGGAAATGCAGCTGCGTTGTGCAGAGATTTTAAAAATGCAAGTTCTCCAGAAAAGAAAATAAAAGCTTCAAATGTCAGGGTGGCTCCAAAATCAGTGAGATGAGGGAGCTGCCAGATTGCATAGGAAGCCATGGTTGCGGAGCTGAGCAGAGCAGGGAGCTGCGCTGTGACAGGAGGGTTGCGAAATGGTTTCCTGTTGACTTCTCTCTTGTTTTTTCTCCATCAACCACAGGCTCTACCTCTAACACCAGCACTGTGTGGGGAATCCTTATCCCTGACGCCCCACTACCTCTATTCCTCCTCTCCTGAACCAGGATGCAGCTGCATGTCCCTGCCCACGGTCCCTCGCACTGTCCCCTTGCACCTACAGAAGACCTCCTCCTGTGTTCTTCGTGGCATTTAATTCTTTGAGTTGATTAAAACAGTATATTCACAAAAAGACTTAGCTGTAATGAGAGAAATAGGGTATAATTGCATGGATTTCACTAAACAAACTGTGATCTGTTGTTCTGCTGTAGAGGGGAAGGATTCGGGGTTTTACCCTTTTTATTTTTGCTTGAAAGCCTCAGCTTTGGGGAAGCGATCCCCAGCTGGGGTAAAGCACTGCAGCTCAGTGGGTTTTCTCACTTATCTGTGGGGAAAACTCAAGGCTGTTTAAGCACAGAGTTGCCCCAGGTGAGCAAGGGATGGAGTCTGGCTGCTTAAGAATATGCCAAGAGGCTCCTTGCCCTTAATGCTGTTCCCTCTGCAATGTGCCCCATGGATGAATGAAGAACTACGGCTTTGTTACCAGACCATGTCCCTTTGGGTGCTCAAGGGTAGGGAAATCATCAAATTCTCTGTCTGCAAGTATCTGCTAGTCTGGTTCTGATAAACACTGACTATCTGGCCAACTCTGAAACACAAGACTGTTAAGGAAAACTTGACATAGTTTTTTTTTAAGTTTCCTTTATTTATTTTATTTGGGCCTCTGGGCCTTAAACTCATGCTTTTGTTTGGTTTTCGGTTTTGAGTCTTCCCTGTCACGGAAAAGGGCTTGGAATTAAAAACCAAACAAAGGCAAAAGCTGAGAGTCTAATGGCACTGCTAAGCTAAGCAGCTGGGGATTTAGCCCTTGTAAAACTGAAACTCTAAATGCCCTGGTGGGGTCTGTCCCATGCCCAGGCTCTGATGGCTGCGTTGGCTGGTCCATCATGGCTCTGCCACTGTCTGGTGGCTCTGGGGACAGTTCTGTACAAAGTGGAAGTCACCAAGCCTGCCCACAGAGCCTCCACAAGATTTACTTTGGATTTCATGTGCTCTTTCATTGGCCTGGCCTCTCCTTCCATCAGGGACTTCTTCTCCCATTAAGGTACCACCACCTCACTCCAGACCCAAGTGGAAGATAGTGGTTTGCTCAGGGTTTCATTCATTGGGCTCTGCCTGGTTGTCTTCAGCTAACAGCACAGCATGTTGACATCTGCTGGACTGCTGCCTGCTTCAGAGCATCGCTCTGGCTCAGATGCCTCATCAAGTTCTGGGGATTGCCCTTTACTCTACTCTCATGGCTATTTGATCACTTGGGCAAGTTTTTCTGGGTTGAAGGAAGAGTGGGCACAGGGAAGCCATCACTTAAGATAGAGAGGCAATGGATGCTTGAGAGCCTCAAAACCTCCTCTGAGCTCAGCTCAAAGCTCATGTTTTGTTTCAACTGTGCGTTGCTTTGCAGTTGAGAGGAAATCCAGGCATTTATGAAACACTCAGCAGTTCAGGCTTGGAGCTGTGCTGTCCTGGCTGCTTGATCAATAGCATCTGGCTGAAGCTTATAATGAAAAGCAGGTGGCTGGCTGTACAGGGGTAAGAAACTGCTGTGATTTGAACTAGTAAGAGTAGGCTTAAATCAGGGCAGGGACATTCAGGCTTCAGAAACCTCTGCTGTTCAATCACCCATCTGATCAGACCTGGGGAACAGTACACAGCTGCACTGCACCAGCACTGCCTCCTTTGCCCTCCTCTCCCCACTTTGAAGAATAATTCATTTCTTATGTCCATTGGGCATTTAGGTGTGGGTTCTCAGAGTCTGACAACATCTGTGGCTCAAATAATAAGCTTTAAGCATCTGAGTATCTTTGATACTCCAGCTCTGCTCAGGACCTCCAGCTGCCTCCATGGGGACAAAAATAACTCTCTTCATGTCCTGCGAGGGCTCAGCAGGCTGCTTGCCTGTACAGCTCACATAAGGCAGGGAACATACAAAGACTGTTCTCCCGTGTGCTTTTGTTGCTTAAGGGTTGAGCTCATATCTGGGCAGGGGAAGGGGACTGGAGGAAGATGGGCACTGGAGTGCCAACCAAAGAGCTCTCTGAAAGGCCCTGGGTGTCAGAATGAGCTGTGGTGGCCTTGATGTGGTTCCTGTCCTCAGGATGTGGTTCCTGTTGAATCTAGCATGGAGTCAGCCATGACACCAGCTTGGGAGAATATACCAAGGACCTCAGCCATGGAAAAAGAGGATGCAATGTGTTCCTCCTCCCTGCCTTGCTTAGAGGTCCTCTGAATGATGATAGGAGAGGACCATGATGAGGCCAATTTCATCTCACTTGCTTCAACTACCAGAAACGTGGTGCCATCCCTGCCTGCTAGTCCCTCACTAGCATTTGCCAAAGCTCCTAAATTCATCCAGGAAGGCTGGGCTTGTACAGCTCCTCCTGTACCCCCTGCCAGCTGATTTGTGTTTTGCACACAAATGCTTTTCTTAATGCTCTTTATGTCCCTGATTAGAATTGCAAGAGAGGGTAGCATGCAGCAAAGAGCTGAGCTTATCCTCCATAATGGTGTAATGTTCATCTGCCTCCTGCTGAATCACATCATCCAGTTTGGGGCTGGAAGTAGTAAATTGTGGGGCTGAGTGAAGTTTTCTGTTCTCCAGAGTACTGTCTGAAAAGGGGGAAAATGGATTTCTGATGGAAGATTCGTCCTGCTGCCTGGGATGTTGGGGTCCTTAGGAATCATGTTAAAGGTACTGCTGGCAAAGTGCACCCTGCAGCACAGTGCCTCAAGCCTGGAAAAGGGTAAGGAGGGAAAGGGGACACAGGATGTAGTGATTGTCCTATGAGGTCGAGCTTCATTTAGTTGAAATCTGTTGTAGCCTGTTTGCAAGAACGTTTTTCAATCATATACTGCACAGCTCTCCCAGGGGAGGTGGGGTGATAACTCCCTGCCATCTACTACCTGGGACTATGCAAAACCTTTTTAACTGAAAAACCTTTTAAGAAAATCATCTGCAAGTCACAAAGTCACCAGCTTAAGCTCAGAGCAAGCTGTCAGCACAGACTGAACAAGCTTCCTTTGGTGAAGTGCTTATGCAGCTCTCCATCTTCCGATGTGCTGAGCAGTCTCAGGTCTCCTCCAAGTTGGGATTTCCAGGTGGTAGATGGGGATTCTGCATCTAACATTTCTATCTTCTGGTCTTTCATGAGGCAAGGACCCTGTAAGAACCTCCTTGTCCTCTTCCCAGCCACAGATACTGATCTCCTCCATCCTTATTGCATCCTGGCAGGACAGAGCAGAGCTTCTGAAACAACCAGGCATTTCTGCCACCGAAGTGCTCCCTCATGGAAGAACTGAAAACAGACCCAGAAACAAAACGTTTTCAGATGTTCTCTCACGGTGGCAGAAGTGTCTGATGGAGACAGATGGGATTTGGCTTCTGTTTCACAGGGCAGGCTGCTCAGATCTGCATTGTTGTGCAGAACAAGACGCCGAGAGAGCAATAACCAGCAATTTGTGGGCAGGGCGCTTGCCTGGGAATGCAGACCCATGGGTTCACCTCCCCGCTTATTTGAATGAGTGATATTATTTTAGGATGGATGGTTTTCTAGGGATCTCTAAATGAAAGGGTGAGTTACATTATCCCTCAGCGGGAAAACAGGCTTTGAAAGCTCAGCCTCACCCCTTGAGTACAGAGCCCTGGCTTTCTGAAACTCAGCAGCTGCTGCATCAGCTTGGGGAAGCTTTGTGGTGAGAGCAGCCACCGTCCCAAGGGATGCTCTCACCCACCGTGCTCTGTGTTCCTCCGTGAGGAACTCCATACTTCACTGAGGCCACCTTGGGAGGTTGTGGGCTTCTTATGGCATGCTCAAACCCACCCGCAAAGCAGGTGGTCTGGCATATAGAATCATAGAATCATTAAGGCTGGAAAAGAGCACTAAGATCACCGAGTCCAACCATCAACCTGTCAAACATAGGGATGGGTTGGCTTGTATGATTCTAGATTAATGCAGTTCCCACCTCTCATTCACAGCAGGGCTCCCTTCAGAAAAGCCGATGACGACTCAGTGCAGGTCAGATTGAAAGAATCATAGGGATACCTTCTGGCTGGGGACTTTTGCAAACACATGACTAATCCCCCAACACATGTGCAACCCATTCTGATTTACTACGGATGCTGACAGCAGTTGGTCTGCCCACGCATAGCCCACGTGCCCATCCATGGAGGTGACAGCAGAGCCACCCGCCACTGAGCTGGGGCAGTCAGCTCCTCCTCAAAGCCCCAGGGATGAATGAAGAACAGCGCTGCCCTCCTGGGAAGGCAAAGATCACCTTAGGTCCAGCAAGCTCCAGGGAAGCAAACTGAGCAAGACCCAACACTTCCCTTGAGCAGAAATGCTCCGGAGAAGGAGCAGCAGGCAAAAGAGGTGACACCAGGAAAGCACCATCTGCCCTTTTTCCTTGAAACCCTGGTGAGAGAGAGCTTCCCTCCTGCCCTCAGCCACCCACTTCTTTTTGCCCTGCTTGAGTGACTTGCTGTGATGGCTCAGAGGATAACAACCTTGATTTTCTGCACCACCTCTTCTATGCACATTGTTTCTCCTAAGGATCCAATTAACCAGGCTCTCCTCCCAGCCTTGGGCTGCAGTAAATGCATGCTCTTTCTATTACTGGATGTATTCAAAGAAAATAAAAAGAAACAGCCTCAAATTTGTCAGAGCTGAGAGAGTTAGACCTCAGTGACAGTATTTTTACATAATGTATTGGTTTTCAAATGATTCAAAACATTCTGCTCCAATCATATTTTGCATGGGGTATAGTGCTTAAGAGCCCATGTCACACAGCCCTGCAGATTGACACCACATTGACTTTGTTGTTATGGTTCCCCAATTGGGAAAAACACTTTATCCCACGAGATTCATTTTTTCAGACCAGTTCCAGAGGGGAAAAGCAAATATCTTAACATTGGCATTACTCATAAGGCAGCAATTTCTTTTTCCAATCAGTCCTAATTGCTTAAAAGAGAAAATCTTTAGTTTTAAAAAAACCCAACAACTAAACAGTGCCTATCCTCCTCTACGTAAAAGGATTTTAATTCTGCCCTCACCCTCTCTGAAGAGCTGAAGTTCTCTTTTCTCTTTTGCAAGCTGGTTGTAATTTCCTCTTTAAAGTGCTGTTGCAATGAGGAATGTGCCCTTATAAAAATAGCGTTTTCACCTTCTGCTTCATCCAGACACAGAATGCCTTGCCGTAAAGTTGTAGCTATCCCTGTGTGCCAGAAGGCTTCAGCCCTCCTGCTTCTTTGGAAACCTGCTGCAAGCCTCCCTCCTGGCTGAACCCTGGGCAGAAATGCCTCTTTGGCTGGCATCCAGCTGGCAAAGCTCCCTAACCCAGGGCTTCACCTCTTGCCGCTTGAGGAGATGAGAAACAAGGCAGGGAGGTGTGTGCTGGGATGCTGAGATCCAGCACAGCCATGGGGAGGAATCAGGGGATGGACCAGGGAATGACAGTGGGTGATTTGGGATCGCATCAGCATCCCTGCAGAGCTGCCCAGCTGGCAGGGCTCAAAGAGGAGGAGAGGGGCAAAGTGAGGCAAGGTAGATTTGAGTTTGAACACACCACGCACTGATGCACATCACTCCCTTTGCCCTGCTCAAGCAACCCCCCAGGTGCATACACAAACCTCCTGGCAGACGCACACACGGGCGAGTGGGTTTTGTTCCTTTATTACACATCGCCCAGCAAAGCAGCCTGACAGGCTGCAGAGAGCTGCGAGTGGAGAGACCTTCAGAGAGACTGCCCAAAGTGCAACACATCTGGCAATTATTCCTTTGGACCTACAGCGGCTGAGCCCAGATGATGCCTCCAGTACAATCCTAACCCATCCCCCTGCAGCCTGCAGAGAGGGGAGGGCACATTTTGGACAGCCCTCCAAGAGTTTAAGAGATGTGTAAGCATTTGACGCCCTATAGTAACAAGCCCCCTCCCCCCCCACCTCCCCCCAACAAGCATCTCAGCCCCTGCCCCCCCCCCCCATCTCACCCACTGAGGCACCCCAGGGCAGCAGTGATGCTTCGAACTAGAAACCCTGACACAGGGTGAGGGTGCGGCTTTAGCTAACCTTCCCCAGCACCGACAGTCGAAACGCTAAGCTGCTTACAGGAGCTAATGGCAATATATCCATGCTGTGAGGCTGCATCTTCCCTCCAGCTGCTTTTCCCTCTGCTGCCCACCTTTCTCCACGTCCTTAACCCAACACTTGGGCTCCTCGGATGCTCAAGCACAGTGTCTGCAGCATGGTCCCGCTTGGCTGCGGAACATAGAGCATGAGAGCCGAGTTCGGTATCCATCACAGATGGATCCTGGGCAGATGGGATCCTGGCACAGTTCGGTGTCCCATCCCTCCCACCCAAAAAACGCGCTGTGGCAATGTCCAAGTCCACGCGTCCAGGAGGGTTGGGATCTACTGCAGGATTTGGAGAGAGGAAAGGAGTCTGGTGGTCGACAGCTGCTGCTACAAGGAGGAGCCAAACAGGATCAAAGTGGAGAAAGGAAGGGAAAAAACCCAAGAACAAATTCAAAAAAGGAGACAAAAGGGGGGATGCTGGGATTCAGGGTATGGATGTCTACCTTCTAAAGGAACAGGAGAGGAAAGGGAAAGTTGGCGTTCGGTGGTTGGACAGGTGTTTATTTTTGGTGTCACTCACGATAGAAAACATATTCGGTGTAAGAGGTCCAGATCCTGTCGTCTGTCTGGTCGTGGGCGAAGGCACAGGTGCCTGTGGAGTTGCAAGCCACCATGTGGAAGCCAGCGTCGGCCAGTTTGTCAAAGGCTTGCTCCAAGAAGGTGAATTTGAGGTAGTACCGGGAGGTGTACCTCTCTGGAGGCCTGTCTGGGTCCCTGCTCTCATTCAAGGTATCCCCAAAAACCTCCTTGGCCAGCGACGTCTTGCCGCAGACCATGATCCGCGCCACCCGGCGGAACTTGGCATCCGTCTGGCTGTCCCTGCCCAGCGTGTAGGAGCCGCGGTAGCCGATGGTGATGAACCCAGCCCTGCGGATGTCAGGGCCAGCAGCGCCTGCTGTGCCCGTGCCCCCGGCACCGCCAGCCCCGGCACTGGGAAGCGCGGCACTGGCAGCGGTCAGGCTGCGGGCGGTGTCAGCGCTGGGGGACGGCTCCTCAGGGTCACTTTGGCACGGGTCGTCCCCCAGCGAATTCTGCTTGCTGAGCTTTGGGGCCAGCATCTTCACCAGCTCTGGCAGCATGAAGTACTCAGCCTCTCGCTGCAGCCGGCTGCGCTCCGGGAAGTGCTCGGGCAGCACCAGCTGCTGGTCCCTCATGTAATCCAGGATGTAGCGGAAGAGGAAGCCGTCCCGATCCACGAAGAAGCGGCCCTTGCTGTCGCGAGCCAAGGAGCGGATGTTCTTCTGTGTGAACATCTCCCAGAGCAGCGAGCCCGGCACGCTGATCAGGGTGGGGTGCCGGGTGATGTAGACTTGTCCGCCCACGTTGAGCTCAATGATTTCAGGGAAAGGCAAATCCTCGCTGGGTTTGGCACAGCCCGCGCTGTCCGCCAGGGCCATTGTGAGCTACTGCTGCTTCCCACCTGCAACACAAAGCAGCACCGTGCCCGGGTTAAGCTTGCCAGCCAACGTCGTCCCGCCAACCCCAAGCCCAATCACACTCCCGTTCCACCTGCGAGCAGTATGAGATCAGCCCTGTCCCTGTGGCAGCCTGGAAGTCAGCTCTCTTCCCTAATCCTTATCTTGGATTAGCGTGCCAAGGGAGCAGGAGGGGAGTTAATGAGCCACAGGGCTGTCAGAAATGCATGTGTACAGGACAGAGTGGCTGTGCTGCAGGCACTCCTACTCCATGCTGCTCCTGGAAAGTACTCAATAGAGGCTCAGGCCAAGATGAGGACTGCTGGGATCTCCCCAGCCATGAAACATTGCACTGTAGATCCAGCCATGGGTCAGATACCCCATATTCATGCATTTTCCACAGGCAAGCTGTTTATTTAACATTGCTGGACACTCAAAATTAGCATTCACATAAACCTGGCTCAAGAGACAGGCTCCCAGTCCAGTCCACGCTCTGTGCAGGGGTTTGGGACTGAAGGGAAAAGGGGCTTCTCTGCAGCAACCCTGGTAGTGCTTCCTGATGCTCTGTCCGATCTGATGCCAGCACAGCTCTCAGGTCGCTGAGCCCCCCGCGGGGCCGCGTCCCGCATCCACAGGACATCAGCAAGCACTGCCACATCCCCGTGTCCTGCCGTATGGCTCTGTGAGAGCGGCACCAAAGGATCCTCAACTCAAATTACACAGAAATCGGAGGGCAAAGGCAATAGAGCCGAGGCTGAGTTTTGCATCCGCGTGTCCTTCCAGCTCATATCAGAGGGACTTGGCTGAGAATGAGTTCTGAGCTCGCGCAGGGACGGAACGGGGGTCCCCCCCGGCTCTGCTCCTCGGTGGCTTTGAGTCCGAGACCATTTTGGGGAGAGGATATGCACAGGGCAACGGGGAGGACACACAAAGCAGCCCCCCGCGCTCAGCGGCTGCGGAGCCGGAGCCGCTCCCGGGGCTGCTGGCGCTTCGGGGCGGCTCCCGTTCCCGGTTCCCCACCGCCCCCGTTACCTCCGCTCCGCCGGGCGCTGGGCAGGGCGGGCCCAGCAGTGCCGCTCCGTGCCGCTCCGTGCCGCGCTGTCCCTCCGTACCACTCTGCTCGCCCGGCCCTGGCCTCGCCGTTTTATAGCCTGGAAAGCTGCGAGCGCCTTCCCCCGGCGGCCCCGGGCCCGCCTCGCCCCCGCCTTCTCTCTCCGCCCTCTCCCTTTGCTGTTTACCTCCTCTGCACCGGGGAGCTCTGGACCGGGAGATGCCGAGAGGGTGTGGGAGGGTCTTCCTCCAAATTAGGGATTGGTACTTGATGCCCTCATCCTGCAGGGAAATCCTTGTAGCACCTACACTGCAATGGCACCACGCACCAACTGGATGCGCATCCCCAGGCAAATGATGGTCAGGTTGCCCCTCATCCTGCAGCCCACCCGTATCCCTACATCTGTATCCCCTTTCCCCTCTATTCCCATCACCGTGGGATTCAAAGTGTCCCTGGATGCACAGGGATGGCAGATTCCTGCAGCCACAGCCCTGTGCACTGCTTTGTCCTCACCTGTGTTAGCACCCATGTCAGGCCTAACAGGGACACCGTGAGGCAAAATGCAACTGCAGAGCCCTGACCTGAGATTATCTGCGGTTTCATTTATGTGACATCTATCAAATTTTGTAAGGGCAGAAAGTGTAATTTTTTCTTCACCTGATGTACAGACCTTGCACAGAAAAAGTGCCCCCAACTAAATAAAGAAACAAACAACAATAACAACAAATCTGGGAAGAGAAATAGGGACTTTCAAAACATTGTAATACTTGTTAAACCTCAGCATTCTATTTCACCTACAAACGATAGAACTAAAAAGAAAAAGATGTTGAGGTCAGAGAGTTGAATTCCCCTCTATCTGTTGTGTAGCTTGATAAGAGATGGCTATTTAACTGTCTGGGTGTGTGGGTGGATGGATGGATGGATGGATGGATGGAAGGAAGGAAGGAAGGAAGGAAGGAAGGAAGAATGGGTGGAATGTGGATAGATGGATGAATGAGTGGATGGATGGAAGGATGGATGGAGGGAGGGATGGGTGGGTGGATAGAGGGAAGAGCGTATACATGGGTGGATGGATGGATAGGTGATGGATATTGCTTTGCTTGCAAGGTAACTGAAGCACTCTCTTTGAAAATGGTCTGTGGGCAAGTTTCCCATCCCCATGAAGGTGGGGAAACACTGTAAGCCACATGGAGAGGAAAACGTGGAGGGGGAAGCTCTGGGGAGTGTATTAGCTTTTGGGTCTGGAAGTACTTACGTTTCTCCTCCATCCTGCCCACTGCTTTCCCCAGCTTTGCAGGAAGTGGTCTTTTTGAGACTTTCTGGTGTTCCATCAAACTTAGCTGAAGTTGCCACAAAAACATAATACCCAAAACCCATTGGAGAGGGCAGAGACAAACAATCTCATACAGCACACACATGTGAGTGCCTGCCCTGCAATGATATTAATCTTGCTTCCTTAGGGAAAGAGCCTAAAAATAACCTGAATTTGACAATGCAGTTGGAAGGCTGTCCTTGGGGAATGACTGGGAGGCTCCTCACTGAAAATCCTCTGCCTGCAATACTTGGCAAGTTGGCATTGGTGTTGTTGAGGTCCTGAGAGGAAATGGAAAAACTCAGCTTTGCCCTAATGCTCAGTTCATGGCTCCAGGCATGCAGCAAACTAGTGAAGGTGTGTTTTTGCCTGTTGTCTGTGCCAATACATCCTGGAAGATGCATTGTATACTAAGTTCAGAAGGCTGAATATTAGATGGCTCTTTCCTCTCCAGTTGGTGTTCAGATGCATTAGGCTCATTTTGCCAACAGGGAAGCACTGCTGCCTTCAAAAGGCCATCCAAGTGCAAACACACCAAGTCCCTATAGTGCTTTACCAAAACTCAAGTTGGTGCATATATTTTCATGAACTGACATGGGAAAGCATCCAGGCCTCTGATGACGTTTCTTGAGCAGTGTGAAGCATGAGCTCTGGAGGAATGGGAGGTGGTTGGGACCGTAGAATCAACGCAGAAGAAACCACCAAGAGCTTTCATAAACCTTACAGAATGAATAAAACAGAATTTGGGTCCCTCTCTGACTTCCTAAAGACTTTTATCAACTGCAGCAGCAGAACATGATTCATCCACATCCCAAGAGAAGGAAGGAATGGGCTTAATTTGTAACTGTTTGCATCCACACTGTTATTTACTGAAAATGTGGTTTGATGATTGCAAATAAGGCACTGGCATAGCTTTCTGGCTGCTATTTTCAGCTCTTCATGTTCTCTGAGCTTGGACATAATTTGTTTTGCCTTGCAGGGCCATGACCTCCTCATTTGCAGACTGGGGGACCTTGCTCTCTGCAGTTACCGTGAGCATTGCTAAACCCATTGTGCTACCCCGAAGCCCTTTGGAAAGTCTTTAAGGGTGTATTTTAAGGACTGAAAGGACTATAAACTGAAAACAAGGCAAGTGTTTTCCCATTTTCTGCTATATTTCTCAGCTAAGAAGGCAAAAGGTAAAAAAAAAAAAATCAGCTACAAGCCCTGGTCTTGTGCTACATCATGTTGAGGGATGCTGTCAGAGAACTGATGGTGCTACATCTGCTCAATCAGTTTCTTATCTAGAGACATCAGGGAGAAAACACTATTTGAGTGACTGATATTTGTTGGAGGAAAAGTCCCATATTCCATGTACGTCAGAAATGCCTGGCTGATTGCACACAGGTTCAAATTCCATCCTGCTGCTGTTACAATTCACAAATGAAGGCTAAGAACAGGGATCTTCTCTCTTCTTCATCCCTGCAGTATTTCTCGCAGCTTTCCTCTTGCTGATCCCACTTTACAGGCTGATAGAATCCCACTGCAGGATTTCCAAGTGTCAGTGGAGATAGCAGAGGATCACGGGCGGACAAGAGGAGGATGCTTTCCCATCCTAGCTGCCCACAAATCAGCATAAACCCACTGGCATCCCAGGGACAGAACCCTGGCTCTCCTTCCCTCTCCTCCAGGAGCCATGCAGGTCTGCAGGGAGGCACAGACTCGCACACACATGAAGTTAACTGGAAGTGACCACCCCTGGAAGAAGAAGCCCGGAACTTCATCTATTGCCAGCTTCTATAAAAAGTGGTTAATCTGCTTCTGCTCGGCCAGGAGCTCAGGTGGCTTTGCAGCTCTGGGGACAGAGGGCAGGCAGCCACATACATCTGACCCCAGCTGTCATGGTTCCGTTTGCCATGGCTACTAGACTTCAGTCTGGCATTTCAATAATTTACTTATACATCTTATCTTTCCCATTTTTAGCAGCATCTGCCAACTTGTGCTACAGTTTTGTCCTTTCCATGACAGATCGGTTTGGACAAGGAAGGCGAAAGGCTGAGCTTAATGGTGCACTTTAATTGGCTTTTCATTATGAAGGCTCAAATGTCTTTGTGGCAAAGCACAGTTAGGAATCAGAAGCAGATGGGGATCAAGCTGCAAACTCCTCCTGAGATGTGGGAGTTGCTGAAGATGTAAGTTTTTGTTTGGTGTCATCACTGCAGGAGGGGCTAAGATCATCTCCGGTGCTGATGAAATCAACATCATCATCATCAGTGACTCCAGAGGTGATGGAAATACAAAATTGCAGCTGTGTTCCCATCCTGGTGTGGTATTTGTTAGCAGTGGAAGAATGTGCATAGCACTGATCTCATTTCCCCATCTGGAGTGAGGAGCTGGTGGCCTCTTGGGAACTGCTCAGCCCTAAAGCAGAGATGTCTCATGCTGCCTTTTAGAATCATAGCATCATTATGGTTGGAAAAGACCTCTAAGATCATGTAGTCCATCTACCACCAATACTGCCCATGAAACTATGTCTCTAAATGCCACATCTCTACAGTTCTTGAACACCTCCAGGAACAGTGTCTCCACCACCTCCCTGGGCACCCTGTGCCAGTGTCCAACCACTCTTTCAGAGAAGTTTTTGATGACATCCAACCTTTTCTTCATGACCTCCTTCAGACTGGCAAATTAAAACCATGCTATAGGACTGCCACTGAGCAAAACCCTAGGGAAGAATAACATGGGAACTAGGAAGGTTGGGAATATTTCACTATACTTTTAGTGCTCAGAGGTTGTAGCCGGAGGGAGAGAAGGTTAGGAATGGCCTAATCAGACTAGAAACATCTTCTGGAAAGCTGCAGAGCACCTCTGAACATTGGGTCACTCTCATATAGGCACTTGGGTACTCTTTGCAAAGCAAACATCCTGGCACAGCGTTTCTAGGAAGCAGATCACTTACACAATGGGCTGGAAACAACCTGAGGATATAAATCTTTCCCCACACGCTCAGATTTCCATTCACAAGGGATATATTTAGGTGTTATATGGTAAGACCCGAGCTTGCATCATGCAAAAGAAAGATTGATAAGATGAGAAGGACCTAAAGTCTCAACCAAGGTAGATGGCAGGCGGGTTGCAAGAGGAACCTATGTGAGTCCTGCTGCAGACAGTCTGTTCCTTGGGCTCTGCCAACACAGTGCCCTGGGGTGCAGATGCCATCTGGCTCTGTACATGCCTGTTCTCAAGCCAGCTTTCTGCAAACCTTGCTGGCAGATTGCTTGCTGCATCTCAGCTTGGGGCTGGGACTGCGTGAAGGTGGAGGGATATGGGGAAAACAAGGCATGCCAGCCCCACCAGCTTCTATATTAACTTTAAAGATGAGAAAAAGATAAAAAATGCTGTGGACACCTCACGAATCACCAAATAGCAAGGGGAACACATGGTCTTGCAAAGGCACATCTGTGATTGCAGAGTTTTTGCCCATGGTCAAATCTGTGATGGGTGTGAAGATGAACTTCAGCTTTTCTTCCTCTTTTGATCTGTGGTTTGACTGTTTCATTTTGACTGTTTCAAGGCCAGGTTGGATGGAGCCCTGGGCAGACTGATCTGGTGTGTGGCAACCAGCCCATGGCAGTGCATTCGAACTAGATGATCTTTAAGGCACCTTCCAACCCAAGCCATTCTATGATTCTATGATTTTCGTGTTGTGTCCACAGGTTCTTCCCACTGAAAGAACAGATCTGCAGGTGTTTGGTTATGAAGAAGGGGGAGATCAGCCTCGCCAC